AGTAATTTGGATGTTAATGTTAAATTTTACTTGATGTTTATGCTCCTTTTTGTTTTTGTTGATGAATTTTACTTTATTTGGATCTTTTAGCTTTCTGCTTATTATTAATAGAATTAAATGCCTTCGCTTGTTAGTTTGCCCATCTGTTTCTAAATGATAATAAACCAGTATTGCTTGCTAAGCAAGTTTTCCCTTGTTTAGTTTACTATTGTTTCCTAATGGGAGTCAGATTAGTACTAGGTTAAGAGTCTCGTTTCCTAATTAGATTCGATACCCCTTTTCTGTTTAGGACTCGGGTTTTGTTCTCCTGTTCGCATTAGGAGTAGAGTAGGCCAAGACGCGGCTCTATATAGGAGGGGGTTCCCTGTAACCAACCTTTGTCTCTCTCTCTCTCTCTCTCTCTCTCTCTCTCTCTCTCGTAAAAGACGAGCCTTTCGGTCTCTCGGTCTTCTTCTTCTTCTCCTCCCCCTGCTTCGCTTATACTCCGTTGCTCTCAATAGCAGAAGACGAGTATGGAGGTGGCTATTGATAAAGGGTGGCTCGGTCATTCGGTCCCAACCTTTTCCTTTTACGAAGAAGACAAGTTGAAGGAGACAATGAGCTTGAAAGCTGAGACTGATGGGAGCAATGTTGACGACGACGGCGGCTCTCAAGATCAGCAGGCGGTTGGTGAAGCGGACGAGAAAACCGGGAAAAGGTCTGTTCCCTTGTCCCAAGAAGCCCGAGAAGTAGAGAATCTTGGAACAGAGCTCCGACGACGCAAGAAAGCTCGGACGGAGCGTGAAGATGTTACGGAAGAGAGGGCGCCCGTGTATAACCGGCCGTATAAAAGATGGCCCGCGACAGGATCGGCGACGGAAAGGGGGTGGCTGGAGATATCGGTTCGTATGGGCGTCACCCGCCCTGTATTCTGCCTAACCAAACTTACGACGAAAAGCGACACCGACCCAAATCAGCATCGGTTTCAACTGACGAAGGCCGACGTTACCAACGCGATGCACCCTCTGAAAGTACTCGCAAAATCAGCGGAGAAGTCGCCCGTAACCGTGAGGGTTTTGGACAGGAAGGGCTACACGTATGAGATGGATTTTAAGTATCTGGCCACCTCCCATACTTTCAGGTTCATGGGCGCTGGCTACACACGATTCCTCGCGAACACAGAGCTGAAGGCCAACCAGATCATGGATATCTGGGGGTTACCGAGAGAGGACGAGGGAGATCAAGAGCAATGGCTTGCGTTTCTAAATTGTGACGGAAGGATTGCAGGTTTTGACGGCTAAGGCTGAAGAGTAGGACAGATAGTTTATTCTTTGATTTTTTGTTTTTTTGTTTTCTAATTGGTAGGTTATAAATTTGTCGTTGCAGTCCGAAGGATATGCCTCGTCTTTCAGCTTTCTCCTTTTCCTCATTAAATCGATTTTTTTAAGAACAAAGAAATATTAATCAAGCTTTTATATTGTTTGAGAGAGTTGTCTTCAGTCATTTGGATACAACTAATCATGAATGAAACAGTTTGAAGTAAAAGGGTCTAATGCAAAAAATGTTGGTTGCATCGACCAATAAAAACTTGGTTGCATTTACAAGACGCACGAGAGGATATCATCCGCGGAGTGACGAAGTCTCAAGTTGAGGGCTCGGTTGAACACGAAACAAACCGAGAGATACATACGCAACTGATTCAGTGAAAGTAAAATAACAAATAAATCTGAGCCAAGTTTGGACTCGATAAGAAAACGGAGATGAATTTAAGACAGAGTGACTTTTGCTCTTACAACAACCTTGTAATAATCAATACTCAAATTCAACATTGAACAGAGTTCTCCTCAAAAAGTAATTTCTCTCATTGGATTCAATCTAAACTTCTTCCATCTATATACAAAAATGGCGATTGTTTTATAAACTGATTCGAATTCTCAGGAGTTTTTCTCAAGCGATGTAGCGTCAAGTTCATTGCTGAAAAAAAAAGTTCAGATTCCTGGGTCCTATCAAAACTAGGTAACAGGCATGAATAGAAAAAATAAAAAAAAAAGATATCTCACGTTATTATTAGGCTCGATCATCATCATCATCGTCATCCTCTTCGATCTTTTGCCCGAAACCTCTCGGTCCGGTCTTCGCTCTAACCTTAGTTCTCTTCCCACCTTTCTTCTTTTTAGCAGCCTCCTCTTTCTCAAACTTGTCCCTCTCTCTCTTCTGCAGGAAATCCTGCACCGCCAAGTATATAACCTGGCAACAAATTTCACAAAATCATCAGAGACCCACATCACAAAATCTCACCTTTAGGCCGAAAATGACCAAGGTGTATAAAATGGGATCTTCCTTTATACCCCAACGGTGAGCAGGGAGAGGCCAACGAAGGCGATGAAGAGAAGGGAGGAGACCACAGCAGAGACGCTGTCGCCATCAGCAGCGGCAGCA